CTGTTGTTGTTTTCGTTGTTGTTGATGTTGTTGTTGCGGTTGTTGTTTGTGGTTGTTGTTTGTGGTTGTCGTTGTTGCTGTTTGTTGTTGTTGGTTGTTGGTTGTTGTTGTTGTGGATGTTCGTTGCTGGTTGTTTGTTGCTTGTTTTTTGTTGTTTGTTTGTTTGTTTGTTTGTTTGTTTGTTTGTTTGTTTGTTTGTTTATGTATTTGTTTGTTGTTTGTTGTTTGTTGTTTGTTGGTGGTTGGTTGTTGGTTGTTGGTTGTTGGTTGTTGGTTGGTGGTGGTTGGCTGTTTGCTGTTGGCTGTTGGCTGTTGGTTGTTGGTTGTTGGTTGTTGGTTGTTGGTTGTTGGTTGTTGGTTGTTGTTTGTTGTTTGTTGGTTGTTGGTTGTTTGTTGTTCCCTCCGATGGGGTGTTTCCGCGCGCTTTTCGCGTTTCGTTTCCCACTGTAAACAAGGGTTTCCGGGCCATTTTTGACGACCTGCGCGCGGGTTTGGAGCAGTGGGCGTATGTTGCGTTCACGGGCACACTTTCATGACTGAGCGCACGCCTGCCACATGATAAGCACCCACATTGACGCACGCATTATCATCAGTGCGTGCATGCACACATTATCATCATTGCACACATTATCATCATTGCGTGCGTGCCTGCCACATGATCAGCATCCACGTTCACGCACACATTATCATCATTGCACACATTATCATCGTTGCGTGCATGCGCGCATTATCATCATTGCACACATTATCATCGTTGCGTGCATGCCTGCCACATGATCAGCATCCACGTTCACGCGCACATTATCATCGTTGCGTGCATGCCTGCCACATGATCAGCATCCACGTTCACGCACACATGTCTGCCACATGATCAGCATCCACGTTCACGCACGCATTCTCATCATTGCGTGCATGCCTGCCACATGATCAGCGCCCACGTTCACGCACACATTATCATCGTTGCGTGCATGCCTGCCACATGCTCAGCATCCGCGTTCACGCACACATTATCATCATTGCGTGCATGCCTGCCACTTGATCAGCATCCACGTTCACGCACACATTATCATCAGTTGCCCCAAGGGCATATTTGAACATCGATGAAAACAAGCAGCGTCTGTGGGCGTAAAAACCCCAAGACGCATTGAACAGACAGAAAACTCTGGACCGAAAAACCGCGCGGTGAGAGCCCATCGAAGCGTTGTTGTTTGTTGTTGGTTGTTTGTTGTTTGTTTGTTTGTTTGTTTGTTTTTTTGTTTGTTTGTTTGTTTGTTTGTTGTTGTCGTCGTCGTCGTTGTCGTTGTCGTCGTCGTCGTCGTCGTCGTTGTCGTTGTCGTTGTCGTTGTCGTTGTCGTTGTTGTTGTTGTTGTTGTTGTTGGTGTTGGTGGTGGTGTTGGTGTTGTTTGTTGTTTGTTGTTTGTTGTTTGTTGTTTGTTGTTGTGTGTTGTTTGTTGTTTGTTTGTTTGTTTGTTTGTTGGTTGTTGGTTTTTTGTGTGTGTTGTGTGTTGTTTGTTGTTTGTTGGTTGTTGGTTGTTTGTTGTTTGTTGTGTGTTGTTTGTTGTTTGTTGTTTGTTTTGTTTGTTTGTTTGTTTGTTTGTTTGTTTGTTTGTTGTTTTGTTTGTTTGTTTGTTTGTTGTTTGTTGTTTGATCTTTGTTGTTGTTGGTGTTGCTGTTGCTGTTGCTGTTGCTGTCTTTGTTGCTGTTGCTGTTGTTGTTTTTTTCTTGTTTTTTGTTGCCATTTGTTCAAGCAAGTTGAATCGTACATCCGTGCTAGATAGTACAATGCTGTGGCGAGTGTTGGCTTGTGGTTGTAGGTCCCATACCTCTGGAGGTTGTTTGGGGTTCGAAACTCGCCTTCCTGCATCCTTGCAACCAGCTCGAGCTTCGGCACCCCGGTTGATGGTTTGACATTCGGCCATGTTATCGCCCATGCGGTCAATGCCGGAAAGGGGGCGGATCCGGGCCACTTGTGAAGCTCAGGTGACGTTCCAGTGCCCGGAACTCTACACTCTGCATGCCGGCGAGGCAGGGACAGCAACCGGTCGAGGTATCCTACATGGCACGGGTTGTCCGTGGAGATCTTCATAGCTTCATTCTCCATGCCAAGGCTCGTTTTGCAATGCTACGGTTTCCTCGGTAAAATTGAGCTCCGTGACTTCATGAATTTTGGACACAGCGGGGGCTGGAAGGTTGACCCTACATGAATCAATCGGCAGTTCTTGGCTTGGGGGAGCGTTCCTCGTTTTGGAAGCCGAATGCGGGGACGTTGCCAAACCGCAAGTCCACACCACTTCTCACAAGACACGAAGTGGGGACCGCCACAACCACTGTGCAGCATTTGCATTCGCAGGTTTTTCAGGGACCTGCGGATATCAAAGTAAAGAAGCAAAGTCGGGCCCGATTTCTGCCTTTCGCAACCACTTGAACTTTGATCAGAACGCCTAAGAAGCCACGAGCCTTTGGGAATGGGGGAGCTGTTTTCGCCCCCATATTGGGCCAGTCCAGCTTGCGGCCTCGGTCCTTTTTGGGAAGACCATGTTACTGGGAAACCAAAAGCTTAGACTTGTTCGGCTAATCCGGGGTGTTAGACTAGCCCCCAATTGCATTTAAACAGCTGGGCTGTGCTTGGTCTGCTTTCAATTCGGTCTAGCTTTGGCAACAGCCGTCCGGGTTGGGGGGCGAGAGTCTCTAAGCCTCATGACCAGCCTTGCGGGCTGGTTTAGCTTGAGTTTTAGGCTGGCTCAGTTCTGAATACGGGTCGGGTCTTGGGTTTGCTTGGTTCATTTCGGCGTGGCAAAGGCCTGGTATCCAGGCTGCTGCTGCTGGGGGCTGATTTGTGTTTGGTGTGCAGCTGGTTTAGCAGCGCCTGAGGGAGTGCCAGGGCGATTCCCCAAGCACTCGAAGCTTGCCCAACACTCCAATGTGTACGAGCAGACGGCAGGCATACATCCAGACCTTACCGGTGCGACCACAGCGCTGGGCCATTTTTGCTAGCAGTTCGGGGCTCAGTGCGAGGTGTTTTTCCATTTGCTTCGGTATTTTCGGTATTGGCGTCCCAGACCAGTGGGCCAGTGGGGCATTTCCTTTTTCATGCTAGACTTAGCGTACCTTTTTGTTGTTGGTTTGGTTTTTCGTCACTTTCCCTTTCAATCAGCAAACAAGTTGGCTGTGTGCAGGGGGTATACGTCTAGCCCAGTGTTCAATTGTTTGTTGGAAGGGGTTTGCGACACAACGAACTCATCCGCGGGCAAAAGCGACTTCATGCGTGTTTGCTTTTGTCGGTGTGTGATGTATCTCGGCGTCTCCCAACCATACTCTTGGACGTTGAAGAGTTTGCTAAAAGTCACTCTTTTAACAATGGATCAGCGAGTAACTACGTTAAAGCACTTTGCCGAGATGATGGTTTCGCAGGCCGCAGCCAATGATCAAACCACAATGGTAAAAGATTGGACCATGTGCCTATCCTCCACAATGCGACCAAGCCACCAGGGTGCACAACTTAGTCGATTACTTTGTCTGACTGCGTTGGCAGAACCAAAAACTCAACACCATGTCAAACCCAAAGAAGTCCAAGAACTCAGGGAGTGAGCTGGTCATGCTCAGTTTCCCTCGCACAAGGTTGACCCGAAGACCCTGCGCGCAAGATTGCACAAGGGTAAGCCAAAGCAACCGATCTTCCTGACCTGCTGAGAAAACGCAGGTTGAGTTTTTGGGACTTAACGATATGATGCACAAGCCTACCAACATCAGTGTGTAGTTTGCCTTCTCCGCCGGCAAGCTTCTATCCTTGTTAGGAACGCAACAACCCTAACCAATTAGGACCACCAACCCAGAGATTCGCATCTTACCTTTGGCTGGGGTGAGACTCAAATCTCCCATGGAGACGTGCGCAAATTGTGCAGTTGATTTTGAAGGACGTAGTTATCAATGGATGGGGAGTGCGCACCTTCGCCAGGTGATCCGACCGATCAGAAGGATAGTTGTCTCTAGTCCCTGACAGGAAATGGCAGTAGAACCGGCATTGGCGTTCTCAGCAAGTGCTGCTGCCCTGCCCAAGGCAAATCAACCTTGAAATGTTTTTTGCCCCTGTTGTTCAAAGACAAGTTCTTTGGGGAAGTGTCAAAACAAGGTGTCCCAACAAATTGTGTTTTAGTTGAAGGAACCTGGCAACTGGCGCCCTCAAAACAAACACACAGCCATTTTGTTTGGTGGCCTAAGAATTGTCAACTCTGCAAGAAGGGTTCCCCTCCTTTACCAGGGTCACTGGGCAACTGGGTTGCCTTGTCAGCCAACAGTGCGGATGATCAATGTTGCGTGTCAGGTGGTAAAAGCAAAGGTAGATTAGGGACCAGGGCTTGTCAAATGTTGTTAAAGCAACCAGCCGCTGGCCCCCCTTACGTCTTGGGGAAGCCAAAAGCAGGTTTATTTAAACAGCCATTCAGTCCCATGTTTAAAAAGTGGGCCCGGTTGGCCCCCTGAAAATGAACGTGCTACCCCGCGCACTCCCAAACGAAGATTCCTCTAAAGACTTGTTCAAGTTCCATGTGAAGCAGGGCGCCCTGATTCAGTCAAGGATGGTACGCCCTGTAAACCGGGGACTGAACCGCTATCAAGTCATAGGTCACCTGGTGCAATTGGCCAGCAAGAGCCAGCTTCTGGCGCTCCTGCTGCGCGAGGCGCCCGTTTTTGAAACGGCTCGGTGGTTCGACCCGAGCATGTGGCCGGGCGGGCGTTCCTAGTGCCCAAAAACAGGGCCGTTGCTTTTCAACGAATCAAGTGGCGCCAATCCCTCTTCAGGAATTTGTTGTTGAAGTGCGGCGGCTGCAACATGCTGCAACTGATCCTTGTGGGGGCTGCAGCAAATCCCCTTGTCTTGCTGTTCAGGGTGGTTGCTTCACTTGCAATGTATTGGAAATCCACCATGGTTGTTTAGGTTGTAAGTTCCTCCGAAAGGGGAGATTTGGTATGTTCAACTACGAGCACAGAGAATTACCATGTTTGAGAAACGGATTTTCAGATGCAGCCTTCTTATTGCATTACGATTTTGGGTCTTGGAGAGTTCCAAGCCCTCCCTCCCACGAAGAACCACTGCCGTGTACAATTCTCCCTCAAAAAAAAAAGGGGACCAATCTCCTGCGCCCGGGGTGCAGGCCAGGACAGGCGTTCGTGCAGGTTGCCAGGTTCAGGGATGGTCACAAAGTTTGCCCTGATGGCGTTTTGCCTCCAACGCGGGGGCCACAAAAAAAACAAACGAGAAGATGACGCTTCCTGCAGGTGGGACGGTCTCAACCAGGTGCGAAAAGCTTGTTGAGTTTGGGTAGGTTCAATTCCTTTGATGCCGGGTTTTTCTAATTCAGTTGATGGACAACATATGAGCGACAAACTCCTGCAGCACTTACCCGGCTGTGTCCATCCAAACTGGTGCAGGATTTCGCCCATCCGCAGTATGACTCATTTGGTATTCCCTTCTCGGGCCATTTGGTGAGATGGGCTTGTTTTGGGTCGCTGCCGAAAAACCCCACGATGGGACTCAGGCGGCAACATGGATTTACTTGGCTCTGCTGACGTAGGGATTTGCCGCGCCGCAGCGTGCCGAAGCTCGCCGAAGCTCGCATGGCAACTGAGAGCCACGGGGCCGTCAAGAGACCATGGAACATTTGCACCTCGCTTCTCGAGTTGGCGTATACCATTGGAATCCGAAATTCAGCAGAATGTTGAAGTTGCAACTTAATTCGTTGTAGTCACAATGGGCCTGGCCTTCCCATGTTTTCAGGACTTCCTTTTAGGATTTGGCTGAAACAACCGGGCACTGCTTGCAAAGCTTAAGGAAACCAACAGACACCCCGCGTAAACAATATTGGTTTAGACCGTGTTTGCAAGAGTTGGCGCAACGCTTCCTTGGCCCGCCCAGACAGGGCGATCGACTCAGGGCCATGGGGCAGGCGGCATCGGAGGCGTGCGGGATGCTGAGCGGGAGGAGAGACCACAGCCTCCAGGCGCCGTGCGCGCGCGGAGAAACACGCTTTGTACAAGTGTTGCGCTCCTTTCAGCTTCTCTTTAAACGAAGCAGGAGTAGCCTCAAAACAACACCCACCATCAGTATTGTTTCAGAGCCATAGCAAGGGGAGCCATAAGAAGCGCATTGCCAGCCATGGCCCTTCATGGTCATGGCCCTTCATGGCCCTAACCAGTGGAAGTTCCGAAGGAACTTTGTGGTTGCGACAACTAGTTGAAAGCTAAATGAGATTTGATAGAATCAGTAGAAAAGTAGTGGTAGACAGATAGATGGATGGACAGACTGATAGATAGATAGGATAGATAATATGGATAATATGGTTAAGATGAGCAAGATAAACAAGATAGATCAGACATATAAGATAGACAAGATGCGATAGATAAGATGGATAAAACGGATATAAACAATATAATCAATATATTAGGTCAAGTTCGGCCAGGTTAGGTAGGTATGTAGGCAGGCAGATAAATAGAACAATAATTGAATAGATACATCGATAAGATAGGTACGATAAGTAGATTACATAGTTCAATGGATTCGTAGGTAGGTAGATGATAGACACAAAACTAGATAAAGCGAGAGGATTCACAGATAGATAAACGGAAAGACAGACCAGTTAGATAGATGAATAAATGCATGAATAGACAGATATCAAGAGATGGATCAGTACTTTGGCAGATAGACAGGTGCAAGGGTAGATTATATAGATAGATAGGCGTAAAGGAGGATAAAAAAAGATAACACGGATTAATATAAAGATAACAAGAACCAGGAAGAACAAGCAGAGACTCACATACACACAAACACATACACACAAAAAAAGAAAAGGACAAATAAGCCACTATGTTGGACAGTCAGCCACAACTTCAAACAGCAACAACAAAACGGGCCCTTGAAGGGCCAGTGCGCCGGGGGCTGGTTCCTTTCGGCGTTTCGGCCTGGTCCTGTCATGAGTTGAGGCAAAGCGAGCAAGCTTCTGAAGTCGAACCGAGTTGCCCTTCAGAAAAGCTCAGCTTAGGAGGATTGTCAACAATTCTTGGCCCACAAGACACCAACTGCGCTCCCCATGGCTACTGCCCAGGCAGGGCCCATGGACATGCTGATGGCTGCCGCCCAGGCAGCGCGCACGGGCATGCCGATGGCTACCGCCCAGGCAGCGCCCATGGGCATGCCGATGGCTACCGCTGAGGCAGCGCCCACGGGCATGCCGATGGCTACCGCCCAGGCAGCGCCCATGGCCATGCCGATGGCTACCGCCCAGGCAGCGCCCATGGGCATGCCGATGGCTACCGCCGAGGCAGCGCCCACGGGCATGCCGATGGCTACCGCCCAGGCAGCGCCCATGGGCATGCCGATGGCTACCGCCCAGGCAGCGCCCATGGGCATGCCAATGGCTACCGCTGAGGCAGCGCCCACGGGCATGCCGATGGCTACCGCTCAGGCAGCGCCCATGGGCATGCCGCTGGCTACCGCCCAGGCAGCGCCAATGGGCATGGCTGCCGCCCAGGCAGCGCCAATGGGCATGGCTACCGCGCAGGCAGCGCCCGTGGGCATGCCGATGGCTACCGCCCAGGCAGCGCCAATGGGCATGGCTGCCGCCCAGGCAGCGCCAATGGGCATGGCTACCGCCCAGGCAGCGCCCGTGGGCATGCCGATGGCTACCGCCCAGGCAACGCCGGTGACGGAGCAGCAAGCGCGGATGGAGCTGCCGGGGAAGCCGCTTGGATGTGTTGGTGAAATAAGGACATTGCTGGGGTCTGCTCCGATATTTTGTCAAATGTTGGGTAGACTGCATGTGAACCCTCATCAAGAAATAATATTTTCTGCGCGCCCCTCATGTGTGCCAAGGTTTCACTCAGGGGCTGGCATGGCTGGCTTCTTTTTAAGCCTTCTAAAGCCAACCCAAGAAGACAGTTTTTCTTCTCCCTCTTTTTGGTGAGTTTCCTTAAGGTCTTAGAAATATGCGATATAACATACAAATAGAAATTGTATAAATACACATATATACATATATATATATATATTGTCAACGATTACAGTGTTTTCTCAATATTTTGTATCTGTTGAGGCTCATCAGATTCTAAAGCAGATGATTCGCCTTTTGCTCAGATGGTTTGCCTTGTTGTTCTGTCTCAGGAAGTAGATGCTTTGCATTGTTTGTCAGACTGTCACTGCAGATGATTCGCAGGAGCTTGCGCGATTGGCGCGATTGGAAGCAGGGGGCAGAAAAGTTTCGAGAGGGTACATAAAAAGTCTAGTCTCGGTGAGAGGTACTTAGAAAAGCTACAAAAAGAAGTCTCAGGGACTCTTGGGCTGGTCCGGGTACCTAGGCTAGGCTTTTTAAGTGTTCTATTTAGGTTTTTAAGTTTCTCAGCATTTTGTGCCCTTAGAAGCGGAAAGTGCTGAGAGGGCTGGGGAGCAGAAAGTGTTGAGAGGGTACCTAAAAGAATACAAACCCTAGTCTCAGCCCGGAGGCTAGATTTGTTAGGTTTCCGAGGTACCTTGTTGACACTTTCTGCTCAAGCGCAAAATGCTGAGGGGTACCTAAAAATCTAGCTGGAGAGCAGCGAGTAGTCTCAGAAACTTTTGGGCTGGCCCGGTACGCAGGCCTTTTGCGGAAAGTGCTGAGAGGGGTACCTACAACTTCAAAAACCTAGCCCGGCCAGCCCAATCTTGGCACCTTCTGCTCTGCAGCTGGGTTTTGCACCTTCCCAGCAAGAGAGGGTACCTAAACAACCTTAAAAAAACTTAGCCTGGGTACCCAATCAGATCAAGAGCTAAGACTATGTTTTTGTTTTTTTTTTAGATACCCTCTCAGCACTTTCTGCTCTGCAGGAAATCACTTTCTATGATTTAGGTTGCAGCTTTCTATGATTAAGGTTGCAGATCTATACAACACTTTCTGTGATTTAAGATGCAGTTCTACGAAGAACTTTCCGAAGAAGTTTCTACAACTTAGGTTGCAACCTCATAAAACAGTTTCTATGAGTTAGGTTGCAGTTCGATAAATCACTTCCTATGATTCGATTGCAGTTCTATGTTAGAACTTTCTGTGATTTAGGTTGCACTTCTATAAAGCAGTTTCTATGATTTAGGTTGCAACTCTAAGAAGCACTTTCTACGATTGACGTCTTTCTATGGTTTAGGTTGCAATTCTATATAAAGAAGTTTCTGCAGTATGCAGGTTGCAGTTCTATGAAGAACTTTCTACTATTCAGGTTGCAGTCTTGCAAAAGCAATTTCTATGATTCAGGTTGCAGTGCTACGATGCCCTTACTTTCTAGGGTGCAGTTCTATAAAGCAATTTCTATGGTTCAGGTTGCAACTGTATAAGACAGTTTCGATGATGTAGATTGGACCTCTATGAAGAACTTTCTATGGTTCAGGTTGCAACTCTATAGCATTTTTTATATGAGAAAGGTTGCAGATGATTTAGGTCGCAGTTCTATAAAACACTTTGTATGGTTTAGGTTGCGGTTCGGTAAAGCAATTTGTGATATTTAGGTCGCAGTTCTTCAAGACGCTTTTCGTGATTGAGGTTGCAGCTCTATGAAGAACTTTTTTCAACGTAGGTTGCAATTCCACACAACAATTTCTATGACTGAGGTTGCAGTTCTGAAAAATCACTTTCTATGGTTTAGGCCGCAACTCGGTGAAGAACTTTGTATGGTTTAGGTTGCAATTTGAAACAACAACTTGTACGATTTAGGTTGCCGTTCTATGAAGAATATTCTATGGTTTAGGTTGCAACGTTCTGTAAATCTCAGCACTTTATCCTTCTAAGAAAGGTACCCTTGGCAGCAGACTGTGGTGAAAATTCCATTGCTTTGGTGGTGAAAAGCTGATTGCCAATATAAACAGCAACAACCAAAATCTATGGATGTGCACAGTGTTAAGTCTTCCATTCAACCCTCTGGGCGTGGATCCAGCACTTGAGGCGTGTATATATCCTGCCACACGGAACATGACGGGTTTGGAATGCGATTTGTCCTTTGAAAGGTAACTCGTTGACAATTGGATATCCTTCCAAGACCTTGTTGTTGCATATGGTTGTTGGGGCGGTGGCTGGTAATGCTACTTGTGTATCAATCAGGGACATACCAGTAACGCGAAACTCACATGAAGTTGTTGACCCGCCTTTAGACTTGCGGGACTGGATGGTCGCACCAAAAGTCATCAGGCTTGTCTTGTTCGGAATAAAGTTTCAGTTGCAACTTTTTGAAACCTCACAAAGCCGTGCTAAGGCGAAAGAGCTTGCTGGTGGGCATCAACTACTACGGGACCCAGGCTGAGCTCAGTGGATGCGTGGCCGACGTCAAGAGGACAGAGGAAGGTGGGAGGATTGCAAGAGCAGCCGGTTCAGGGGTTTATGAAGGTCTACAAAAAAGGGGTGGCAACAAATGATGCGTTTATGTTCAATTTCCCTTTTGACTCCTCCAGTTTGGGCACCCTCACAGAAGACAGCACACCAAAACGGGGTATCAATAAATGAACATTCTTGGACGAATGCACCCTTTTTAACTCTCATGCCAGTTTGCTGTTTTTTGGGCCGAGTCTCTTTCTCTCTCGCTCTTTCTCTTTCTCTCTCGCTCTCTCCCCCTCTCGATCCCTCACTCTTTCTGTGTCTTCCATAATGAATATGTAGCAATGTATGTAATGCAAGTATGGTACTGTAATGCAATGTAATGTAGTCTAATGTAAGGTAATGTAGTGTGTAGTGTAGTGTATGCATGTATGTATGTATGTAAGGTAATGTAATGTAATGTAAGGTAGTGCATTATAATGTATGAATGTAATGTACGTATGTATGTAGTGTATGTATGTATGTATGTACGTATGCACGCATGAATGCATGCATGTATGTATGTATGTAAGTATGAATGTATGTATGTATGCGTGTAATGTATGTAGTGTATGTAATGGATGTAATGTATGTAATGTATGTAATGTATGTATGTACTGTAATGTTGTGTAATGTAATGTAATGTATGTACGTATTGTCTGTATGTATGTATGTATGTATGTAATGTATGTAATCTGTGTATCTATGCATGCAAGCATGCAAGCTTGCGTGCATGCATGCATGCAATGTATGTATGTATGTGTGTATGTATGTAATGTATGTATGTATGAATGTACGCACGCACGCATGCATGTATGTATGTATGTATGTATTTATTTATGTATGTATTTTGTGTATGTAATGTATGTAATGTATGTACGTACGTTTGTCTGTGTGTATGTATGTAACGTGTGCATGTATGTAATATATTTATGTACGTATGTAGGAAAAGTAATGTAGTGTAATGTGTTGTAATTCATGAAATGCAATGTGAAGTTATGTATGCATTGTATGAAAATGTATGTATGTATGCATGCATGTACATATGTATGTATGTATGTGCATGTGTGTATGTATGTATGTGTGTAATGCATGTAATGTATGTAACGTGTGTATGTATATAACGTATGTATGTATGTAATGCAGTGCAGTGTAGTGTAGTGTAGTGTAGTGTAACGTATGTATGTATGTATGTATGTATGTATGCATGGTAATGTAATGAAATGTAATGTAATGTAGTGCAATGTTATGTATGTGTGTATGTACGTAGTTCGAGAATGTAATGTAATGTATTGTAATGTAATGCTATGTATGTATGTATGTACGTACGTACGTATTTATGTGTCTGTATGTAATGCATGCATGCATGTATGTATTTGCGTTATGATGTATGTAATGTAATGTACGTAATGTAATGTAATTTACGCATGTAATGAACGCATGTATGTATTGTAATATATTTTTATTTACTATATTGTATGTATGCATGTAATATATTGTAATGTAATGCAATGTATGTTAATGCAATGTACTGTAATGCAATGTATGTATGTATGTACGTCTGTGGGGAATGAATGTAGCGTAATGTAAAACAATGTACTGTACCGTACTGTAACGTAGCCCAATGTAATTTCATGTCATGTCATGTAATGTACGTTATTTGCATGTTATGTATGCATATGTTCATGGTATGCATGTATGTCTCCATGTATGTATGTATGTATGCATTTAGGTAAGGTATATAATGTAGTGTAACGCAAGGAAATGTAATGTGTGTATGTATGTAGGTATTTATGTAATGTATGTAATGTATGTAGTGTATGTAGTGTATGTATGTAATGTATTTATGTATGTATGTATGTAATGTATGTATGTATGTATGTAGTGTATGTATGTATGTATGTATGTATGTTATGTGTGTATGTATGTATGTATGTATGTATGTTATGTATGTATAGATGTATGTATGTATGTATGTATGTATGTATGTATGTATGTATGTATGTATGTATGTATGTGATGTAATGTTGTGTAATGTAATGTATGTATGTATGTATGTATGTGTGTACGTAATGTATGTATGTATGCATGCATGCATGTCATGTAATGTAATGTAATGTAATGTAATGTATGTATGTATGTATGTATGTGTGTGTATGTATGTATGTATGTACTGTATGTATGTATGTATGTAATGTATGTATGTATGTAATGTATGTATGTATGTATGTATGTATGTTATGTTATGTTATGTTATGTTATGTTATGTATGTATGTAAGGTAATGTATGTATGTATGTATGTAATGTAATGTAACGTAATGTAATGTATTGTAATGTAATGTACGTTATGTAATGTAATGTAATGTAATGTACTGCAATGTAATGTACTGTAATGCATGTAATGTATGCATGTAATGTGATGTGATGTGATGTAATGTAATGTAGTGTAATGTAATGTGATGTATGTATGTATGTATGTATGTAATGTATGTAATGTATGTAATGAATGTAATGTAATCTAATGTAATGTAATGTAATCTAATGTAATGTAATGTAATGTAATGTAATGTAATGTATGTATGTATGTATGTAATGTATGTATGTAATGTAATGTAATGTAATGTAATGTAATGTAATGTAATGTAATGTAATGTATGTATGTATGTATGTATGTATGTATGTATGTATGTATGTATGTATGTATGTATGTATGTATGTATGTATGTATGTATGTATGTATGTATGTATGTATGTATGTATGTATGTATGTATGTATGTATGTATGTATGTATGTATGTATGTATGTATGTATGTATGTATGTATGTATGTATGTATGTATGTATGTATGTATGTATGTATGTATGTATGTATGTATGTAATGTATGTATGTATGTATGTATGTAATGTATGTATGTATGTATGTATGTAATGTATGTATGTAATGTAATGTAATGTAATGTATGTATGTAATGTAATGTAATGTAATGTAATGTAATGTAATGTAATGTAATGTATGTATGTATGTATGTAATGTAATGTAATGTAATGTAATGTAATGTATGTATGTATGTATGTATGTATGTATGTAATGTATGTATGTATGTATGTATGTATGTATGTATGTAATGTAATGTAATGTAATGTAATGTAATGTAATGTAATGTAATGTAATGTAATGTAATGTAATGTAATGTAATGTAATGTAATGTAATGTAATGTAATGTAATGTAATGTAATGTAATGTAATGTATGTATGTATGTATGTATGTATGTATGTATGTATGTATGTATGTATGTATGTAATGTATCTATGTATGTATGTATATATGTAAGTTAATGTATGTATGTATGTAATGTAATGTATGTATGTATGTATGTATGTATGTATGCATGTATGTATGTACGTAAAGTATGCATGTAATGCAATGTAATGTAATGTAATGTAATGTAGTGTAGTGTAGTGTAATGTATGTATGTATGTAATGTATGTATGTATGTATGTATGTATGTATGTATGTATGTATGTATGTATGCATGCATGCATGCATGCATGCATGCATGTAATTCATGCCTGTAACACAATGCAATGCAATGCAATGTAATGCAATGTAATGTTTGTATTTTTATTATATATTTATATGCATATACACAATACGCGGAACATAGAGCCCACGCAGGGCTTCCATCACTCCCTGTGTGGACCCCCTTGTTTTGTGGCCAGTTGCTGGGGATGTCACTTAGAAGCCAGCTAAAGCGGGCTCCGGGCGTTTAGTTTTTGCTTGTTGGCTGCTTCGTAGCCCTCCCCCCCGATCCACACATTCCAAGATAAGTGTGTAAAATGCATGGTTTTCAGCATTCAAACGGATCAAGAGCAGAACGGGTTTTGCTCAGAAATTTGCTTCTTTCTGCAGATGTGTTGGGCCAAGGCATGATGATGGCAGATGAAATGGGTTTGTGAAGCCTGTTTCATATGGTATTTGCAGGAAGGTTGGGCCCATAGATGGTGAGCGCAAAAAACTTGAAGTGTGAAAAGCTCAAGCTGTTTGTGTTTTTGTTGGTCCCCTCCAACATTGTCCCCTAAAGTTCTCAGAGGGTACCTCAAAAACAACCCGTGCAGCCCAGAGTGCAGGAGGGGGGGTGTAATACAAGAAGCAAACAAGAAAGACACAAGCGTCAAACAGTCTTGGGTCGCCTGTGGCCTGACGACCTCTCTTCACTCTTCGTGCCCGCAGGTGCAGTCGGTTTGGCATGGTAGGAATGATTCTAACTGTTTGAACTATTCCCGGTGCCTTTCCAAATGCTCTAAGTGTTCTAACTGTGCTAGGTGCTCTATTTGTTTCAAAGGATTCTAATTAACCTGAGTATTCCAGTTGCTGAATAATCCTAACTATTACCAAAAGTACAGGTGCCTGTTGCAAAATGCCACAGGGGTTTTGCCATTTAGTCTGACAGTGCTAATCATTACAATTGTTCTTCTTAATCAGAAGATTTAGCAAATCAGAAACATATAGCCCAAGAATCTTCAATCAGTCAATATCACGGGAAGGGTTGTCTTTTGGGGGAATTCCAGGTTTTGAAAATTACTCCAGTTGTCCTTAGTGTCCCGATCATTTCAATCACGTCCAGAAAAGGAACGGGTGCCTTTTCGGGATTGCCCTTGGTTAACTATAAATGTGGTTCAACGCAGTATCTTCCATTCATGGGCCCATTTGCAACCAAACACCGGCGGCCAAGTGGGGTCCTTGCGGCCGAACTTGAGCTGCGTGCGAAAGGATGCGGCCCTTGTTGGAGCAGCACGGCTTCCCAAGTTCCGAGGACACGCGCGCGCTGAGACTTAAGACCGGCTTGGTCAACATCGCCGCAAATTGACATGAGTCCAACAAAGAAGGTCCCCCAAAGGAGATTCCTCAATGAAGCTTGGGTTTTTGTAGCTGCGACCATTCTGCTATGATCATGGCCTGATGTGGTGTGCAAGTTCCCCACAACCCCCTTACAGTCCCTCCCCCCCGAGTTCCTGGACTTCACGCGTTTGGGAAGGCCAGTTCAGACTTTGGATCAATCCAGTCGGTCGGAAGTGAGTGGATCCCACGTAGGACTGTCAGATGGTGCTCTTGGACGAGCCTGGCTGGCCCAAGCCGCCCACCAAGGCGAATTTGCAGCGAGCCATCCGATGGCTCACCCAGGATGTACAAACAGGACCGCCTCGCAAGGGGGGTGGATGGGGCGCGTCTTCCTCTGGGCCACCCACAGAATATCCGCCTTTAAACAAACATATTGAAACATATTTTGGTGGTTCCCTTTCTGATTGCCAGACTTAACTTACTTGATCGCCCCTTTTGGGTTTGCTGCAGCAATAGGCTGGATTGTTTGCACCTCTAGTTGCCAGCCTTAGCTCACCTTTTCACTTCTCGCTTGCTAAGTTTCCTTGGTTTTCCCTTTGAGCCAGACAACCGTCTAAGTATGACCAAAGCAGGCGCGATTTGTGTGCCCCAAGTGAGGAATGAGGTTGGGAAGCCTTTCCAGCTTGGACCTTGGGGGGCGGGAGAGTCCTTCCAGTAAATCCAGCGACTGCCTTTTTGGGCGGATCAAAGGAGTGCACGACGCAGTGCGCATTCCAACCTCCGCAAAAGGGCACGGGGAGGGCCCCCCGTGACTTTTCTAGCTTTCATTTCCGTGGTAAGCAACAACTTGTTGGACGTTGTCGTGACCAATCCACTCAGGAAGTCGGGACATGCAGTGTGTTGGCTGTGAAGGCAGTGTCAACATTGGAGTGACATACATGTCGACCATGCATTTGGCTCCCAGGGCGCATTTGGTCCGCTAACATGCTCCCTCGAGCAAAACGTACTCTTCCACGGCCAGTGGAACCGAAAGAGAAGGAGCACGGAGCAACCGGCAGCCCCCCCCCCCGGCCAAACTTGCGCCACCTGGGACCCCGCAAGCGGGCATGAAGTGATGCTGCACGCCATGGAGTTCGGGGATGGCCTGCACTTCGCATTGAGCCTTCCCCGGGCACCTTGGCAATGCCCTCCTTAGGCTCGTGACTTTTGGGCTTTGGAGTTTGAAGCTATTGATGACAAATCGCGCTCAAAGTTTAACATGGGGATCAACGAACCACTCAGGCACGCCAAGCCGCCAAGCCGCGAACATGAACGGGAAAGGGTTCCCTGCAACAGGAGGTTGCTTCATGATTCGGCGATTGCTTTGTCGCTTACCCTGTGGGAATGTGCGCATTTTGAGGGTTACCCTATTTTCAAGGAAATCCATTGTCTGCGCTTCGGTTGGATGTTGTTTCGGGGCCTTGGCTTTTGTAGAGGTGAGCTTGCTTCTCCTTTGAACGGCGCTTCGACCACCCAGCTCAAGCAAGCCAAGATTTGAGTGGTGATTCTTGTTTGAGTTCAACCGTTTTAAGAATCCTCAACTCTTTTCCCCTGCGGAGCCTTCATTTCCCGCAGGTGAAGCTCGATTTCCTGCAGGCCCTTCAGCCCCACGAGATCCACGAGACCAGCTCTTTGGCCATCCGTTTGGATCTTTGGGGCTCTTCTTTGGCACTTTTCGCCTGCACCACGGCGTGTTCACAAAGCATTGCAATATAATGAGATGTGTCCGTATGGCGCAAAGCCATCTCAGACATGGAGACACTTGCTGGTTCTCAGGGATCACCTTGGGCATTGGGAATGATCCTCGGGATCCCCTTTCATAAAACTGCAAGGAATGGTGTACTGAGGTCATTCCCACAGTCCCTACTGAGAACCAGCAAGTAATTGCCTCTTGAATACGATGCCCCCCCAATTTAGACAAGGGCATTACTAATCCTGGGTCTCCAGCCAGGATCTGCTCACGTGCCCCCATGTTGACAGCGATTTTCAGAATATGGCCGCAAAGGACCAGAATTTGTTTTGCAGGTTTTGGGCGACTCAGGCTTTGTAGGGGCCACGCGCCCACGCAGAGCGCTCCCGCAGCACCTGCAGCACCTGCATGCATCGCCGCGGGGAGTTCGAGCGCGATCCCTGCACTCCCCGCGCACCCGGCACTCGCGAGGACACGTGTCGCCCAGAGGGCACTCTCCGGAGCACGTGCGCAGGCGCCATCACCAAGGCCACAGCCAAGGGCGCAGCCTAGGGCATCGAAGCCCGCGCCACAGCTCGAACCATGGTCACCAGCACGCCCAACGCCACCATGGCTACAAAGGGTATCACGGCGGATTGCAAGGGCACCATGGCTACCATGGTCATCACCCACACCATCCCCATGCGCATCATGGGCATGCCAGAAGGGCCCCCTATGGACAAGAGCACTGGGTGCAGCGGCATCACAGATCTCCTGTTGGATCCCCAGGCGGGGTTGAACAAAAGTGGGTCTGAAACAGCCAACCTTGATTTGTTTTCTGACAGGGAAAGGAGGTTTATTCAGAGAAGTTGAGTCGCCACCCTGGTCATTGGGCCTGGGGCAAAGGACCTTAAAAGGAAAGGACTTTCTCTAAACGCTACGGCGAAGCCCCATGTTTGAACAGCTGCCCAACCTCACCAGGCCGCCGGTCGCCAGGCCCGGTGGAAGCTGGGTTTCTCGGGGGGAAGAAAGAGCGCCGCGGATGGCGGGATGCGTCTAGCTTTGAGGCGGACAAGCAACTTGTCCGCACTAATGCCCTTTTTGCTTTGCGTTTCCCGGTCCCTTTGTCTGCCAGCATCACTGTCTA